TAATCATAATTAAAAGGGGCGTTGCCAAAGGGGGAGCTGGGGTACGGGCTTGCTTTCTTACCATGTCTTCATAGCATGCAAACATGGTGAAAGTGTTTTTTTTCCTAACAATATACTTCCCCATACCCCTTCCAGTCCACTCCCCGTCCTTCCAGATCAAAGGATCTCAGTACAATATTTGCCTTCAGCAAAAAAACTCATAAGCAGTATCCTTCAGGGTCATTTACATCTATTTACTGGCATTAATAAATACGTAGATTCATTTCAAAATTGTGGACCTACACCCCTTTAGAGATCTAGATACACAGTCATGTTTGGATGACTGCTGTGCCAGTGCAATAATTTCCATAAAAAGTGAAAAGTTATTCCAGATTTCTCCTCCTTTTCCCTTTTTCTTTCAGCATATATGATATGGGGCCTGAACCTGGGTGTGGACCTGAATTCTGTGAATCTTTTCTTCTTTTTTATACTTTAAGCCTAGAGGAATTTGGAAAGCGGAGCTGTTTGAACTGTGACATCCCCATATGCTTCTTGGGGAATAGAGCCAATACAAAGATGAAGACATTTTACCTGTTTTAATATTCAAATTATTGTTGTGAAAGAATGTGTGACACGAGGCATAGGGGGCACACAGCAGCAGAGCATAGCATGACATGGAAGATTCAGAAGAATTAATTATGGGATGACCTGGAGACACCCAGCTCCCCTTCACCGCGTGTGAGCTGAAGGCATGTTGGAGGGTCTGTTCCAGGCTCTGCCCCGGAGACCTTGGGCACCACAGTTTCGTGGCTTCCGTAGGGAATACACGGCTTTAATGGTTTCCTGTGACAATAATTTCCAGCTGACAATGTCTGTGTTGCAGCATAAAGACTCCAAACATCAGAAGTTTCCACCTGTCATTTACACCTGGTGCAAATTGAAAATGCTGCAGTTGTGCTTTGCTTTCATCCCGAAGGGTTTTTCACAGGTAAGAACAACTCGGTGATCGGAAGGCTTTGAAGCATCTGGGCTAATATTTCGTGGGTAGACTGTACACAAGCTCACACACGTGAATACATAAAATTTGAAAGCGAAACCCAAACCTCATAGTTTCATTCTTAGCTGGAGATGTGTGGCTTTTCCCCTCAGAAAAGTTCTTTTGAAGTCTTTATGGAAAAAGTGCCTTTTAATTCTGTAACAAGTTTCAGAATGAGCTTGTAGAAGCCATCCTAATGAATCAATTATTGTGACAACACACGGATGTTCTGGACGTTCTGTGTAATCGCTTAGGACCTGATCTTGCAAACCTATGGCCTCAGAGTCTAACAGGGCATTTGAGGACCCATTTCCACACATTCCAAAGGGATGAAGGCGCCACAGCCCTTTGGGCCTCCAATGCACATCCCTAACTTTGTGGCTTAACGTGCTTTCACGTTCACAGGGCTAAGGCCTCCGAGTTCATGTTTCTTGGGTCAGGAGCAATCACTGTCAGTGGCATTAAGGCTGAGCAGACCTGGCCCCAACCCGTTAGCTGTGGGTGTTGGACTGTACTTCTGTTGCAGGAGGCAAGCTGCCGGGTAGCTGTGTTGGCAGAAGCACCACTCCTTGGCCTTATCCTTCAGAGGGTAAATAAACTTAATCCCAAAATCATCCACTGTTGTTTGCTAACAGCAAATAACTCGGAATTTGAAGTGAGGTGGGATCACACTGTTCTAAAGACCCTGGGATCCAGCACAGCCCCTGCAGAGCAGGGCAGTTTCCCAAACTGTGAGTTTGCCTGCTGCACAGCCCCTTTACCCAGAAGGGATCCACTGGCCTTGTCGGGTGTAAGAGGGTTCCTGGATGGACCCGGTGCAAACAGATATGTAGTGAATGTCTGTGAGCTTGACCTCAACGGATTTACCAGCCTGCGAACCTCCACAGAGAAAAACCTAAATTCTGCTGTCTGCAAACACACGCAGAAATTAATTTGTTTGAGATAAAACTGTGCGGTGGAGTCTTTTACCTCTGTAGCACCAGATCTCAATCACCCATGAAGTAGTGGCAGAGTCCTTTCTGTCTTGAGAGGTGTGGTAGGAGAAAGACACACACACACACACACACACTCTGTGTATATGCACCTCACAAGAAGAAATGAAAGCACATCATCTAAGTTTGCTTAGGTTTAGCGAAGGTCAGAGATTTTCGCACCTAGGTGAGCTGTCATCTGGCTTGGGGCAATTCTCTTTTCTCTCGCATCCTTTGCTGGAACAGCAGGAGAGCTTTACTGGCGTGAAAGACTAAACTGCCCTCGGGCTATAAAGGACTTGAGTCACAAACCACCTCCCCCCCCTCCCCTCAGACCCTTTCGTATTAATTCAGGACCTTCCAAAATTGTCCTAACGTCTCCTCACCTGTTGGTTCTGAAAACCTGTTGAGGGCCGAGGCTTAAGCTAAGCGAGGTGACAAAACATATGGGGTTTGCTCTAAACAAAGTAATGCTACATTGATAGGGTCAAAACTTCTACTTTTAAACGCTGAGCTTCATTTTCCTGAACTTCAACCAAATTAAGCAATTACCTAAGAACAACTACATCATTAAGACAGAACAGCAGCATCTAAGTGCATGCAGGCATAGTAAAGACTAGAAAATACTCATAGCATTGAAAAGCACAGCAACGCTTGCATGAATGGGCAGCCGCTAAAGCTCAGGAATAAACTCGTGTCAGCACAGTGACCAAGAGGGAGCTCCACATGTCGCATACTCCAGAGCAGTGCTGTGCTTTCTGATTTCTTACAGGGCTATTTAGAAACAAAAAACATTTTTACAGCTTTTGAGCACATGCTGCCTCTTTAAATGTTTTCCTCTTTATTAAAGCCTTGGCCCTTTGTTAATTTTTTTTAATGCAAGTTCTTTCATTCTTCATTTCTTAAACCTCCCATGCAACAACTATTTTGGCTTTTAGTGAAGGGAATTTTTCTGCATCCAGCAAACTGTAAACCATGTCGCTTGGATACAGCAAAAGCCGAAATTCCACAGATTTCCACAAAGTCATACATTGTGTTGGGGGGAAAGTGTGCTGGGCATTCTTTGATTTCTGTGTCCTGCATTAGCATTCATAAGCACTTATGAAAATGAAAAAGATAAAAGAAAGAGGAGAGAGAAAGACAGTGAGAGAGAGAAAGAAAGAAAAAGAGAAAGAAACAGAGAAGGAGAGAAAGAAAGGAGGGAAGGAAGGAAGAAAGAAAGAAAGAAAGAAAGAAAGAAAGAAAGAAAGAAAGAAAGGAAGGAAGGAAGGAAGGAGAGAAGAGAGAAAAAGAAGAGAGAACAATAGAGAAAGAAAGAGAAAAGAGAGAGAAAGAAAGAGAGAAAGAAAAAAGAGAGAAGGAAAGAAGGAAGGAAAGAAGGAAAGAAAGAAGGAAAGAAAGAAAGGAAAGAAGGAAAGAAAGAAAGAAAGGAAGGAAGGAAGGAAGAAAAGAAAGAAATGAGAAAGAGAGAAGGAAGCTGCTGTGATGAACGCAAAACATGACCTTTTCTTTTTAAAAGTTCGTGCTGTCCCTCTTGTTTAGCACCAGGGCTGCTCACCCTTTCCCTTCAAGACGCTTCGGAGCTGTTAAGCATCTAGGGGTGATAATTTGACTTTCAGCTAAACCGGAGGGCTGCAGCAGACAGCGGTAGGTGGTGATGTAATAGGTACCAACGCACATGGATATATAAATATCGTGGCTAGGGCTAAAGCGCTATGGCTGAGCAGCTAGAGAAGAAGATCAGCACTTCAGACAAGACTCCCGGAGTTGAGATCAAGTTCAGAAGCTCTTGCTCCCGGGATTTCCTCTCCATGCAGCCAGCCCAGGGAAACCACAGATCCTCGGGGGACTGAGCACGGGGGTCCCTCCCCCCCCAACACCCCGCCTTGCTTTTTGCTTGTTTGTTGGGTTTGGGTTTGGTTTTTTTTATTTTGTTTGGTTTGGGTTTTTTTGTTGATTTTCTTTTTTTCTCCCCCCTCTTTCTCCTCAGTATAAAGAGG